CCCCCCCCCCTACATCAAATGTGCCAACTCCACCATCCCCTTTAAAAAGAAGGTAATGTGTCTTAACTCTGTACGAGGAAAGAAAACAAGTGTGCGTGTCTTGTGTCTTTGTGTGTTGCCTTCAGCTGGCAATTAAAAAATTATATATTTGCCCCCCTTGGTAACATTGTATCGGAACCATAACTCTACGATTTACGGGCACTTGAGCTGGTTAAAATTACTCAAAAGCCAACAAATAAAAGTATAATCATCAATTAAAGTGGCAAAGTGAAAAAAATGAATTAATACTATTTAATCTGAACTTTGTTCTTATAAGAACTGTACCTTAGTTTACTAAATGCAGTGAGAGCTCCAAACTTGGCTTCAGGAAATACTACTTCAGCTCGGAGAGTTGAAACAGGTCTGAACAATAAAACTTGACTTTTTAGTACCAATAGCAAAAAGACCTAATCGTTTGTCTTGTAGTATGACTGACTAAGTTCTTTTCTTCTCAGAAGCCACAAAAAGCAACGAGACTACAAGTCGGCTTTTTTTTTGTCGGAGTTCGAACTTTCTTAGGATATCCGTAAAAAATATGAAAATCCTAGAATGTTTCAGTATTACAATATGGGGGAAAATGTGGCTAAAAAATAACATTTTACTAGAAAAACTACATTCTGAAATTTGGGAAGCTGTTGGCATTTTTTGTTTAATGCTATAGTGTTATACAACAAATGTATAAATGTTTTTTTTTTATGAACTTCGTCATTACAACATACTTGTCTATGTGAATAGTAACCTGATAAATGTGTCCTTAAGTTTGCTGACTAAAATGCTGCTACAGCTTGATGGAGCGAATATAAGAAAATCCTTTGCTAAATCTAGGAAACCTAAACCATTAAAATAAGTGTGTATTAAATAAATAAGAAAAGAAATCCAAGGAATCCGAAATATTTTTTTTTTATCGATTGCTCCCGTGGCAAAATATCGATCAAAAATGTAAGCCATTTTAGTTCTACAGCCACAAATCTATAATAATACTATGATGTCTGAACACTTGAATTACAAAAGTAAAAAAGCCTTTCACATTCGATAATTCCTTAATAGCTTTAATAAACAGTTAACACAAATAATAATAAAAACTATTTTTATGATGGGAAAATTCTAAATATTATCTATGGTTTTACCTTTGCAAAATCCTTCGTGAGCAATACAAAACACTGCTTTTTCTTTCAAACAAATTCTCTTCACTCCATCAGGACTATTGATAGCATCATGAACATCTTCCTCTTGTTTCTGAGTTATCTCTAGAACCTTGAGACTCTCGAACCTACCCTGACAGACAATAATCCCTTCACTTGATCCTATCCATAATACTCCTTGAAGGAAAACCTAAAAAGAACCAGATTAAATTCAATGCAGGGATTTATTAGTATGGATACATGGTAACCCACAATGGATAAACCTTCAAGGATACGCTATTCAGGGACCATGAATTTATGGAGTGGCATGTCCGGTTATCAAGAGTACCCTTAAAATCTGATCAACTCTGCATTAGATTATCATGTTTATAATTTTAAAAAGTGATTTCTACTGCAGGATAAAAAAGTGAGAATGATCAGAATTAAACACTTTTCAGGCTAAAAAAACGTAGTTGATCAAAAAAAGGTTTCAGAGGTACCCTTGTGAATAGAGTATGCCCCTGGGCCCTCATGGAGGGTCACTTGAAATTGCAACTAAAGATCCTTCACTGAATACCTGGAATGTTTAAATAATAATGTTTTGAATGGTTATTTCAGTATTTAACCTCGAAATTTCTTGATTTTCAATATTTTGGGGAAACAAATAAAACTTTGAATTAAGAGAATATGCGTTCACGAAAAATTCCTTTTATTATGCGAGAAAAAAGAACACTAAATTATGACAAAATTTTCTTCTTAGTAAAGCTTAGAACTCCCAGATCTTAAGAATAAAGTGTTAACTTACTTGAGTGGCGTGTACAAGTTTCCATGTTGTACAATTGTACACTAGAATATCCCCACTCACTAGTCCAGCTAGCAACCAATCCTAAAACAATGAGTTCACTGTTGACTATCTATCATCTATAACTATATATATATAACGTTGTAATCTCTTTTTGTCTGACTGTTTGTAAATTGAGTGCGTCCACTTTAATAAGTAAAGGTAGATAAACTCGTAATTTACGACCAAGCGTGAGTAAACCTCTGGGCAACGCTCGGTTCTCAACTTAGTTTATTACATGCTTTCTTACATACTAAAAAGAAGACTTGAGTTAAGACACTGTCCAGGAGCCTATCCAAACTGGGCCAATGAGTTAAGCCCCCCCCCCCCTGGAGAAGGGAAAACTATGATTCAAGGGGGGATGTACGCCCCTGAGTCCAAGACTGATAAATACAAATATAGTTAAAGAGGCTCAGGGGTGTATACCCCCCCCCTTCCACCATGCTCAGATGTTTTCGTTGTTTAGACAAAATTGTAAACACTTACTTGATTAAGAATCCCTTGAATAAAATGTAGACAGGACACACCAACGCCAGGAGATAGGTAGAAATCAGGCAAAGGTGGATCTTCTAAACATATTAAATACCAATATCAGTGGAACATACAGTAGAGGGAGACTTTTAAGATTCAGTCCCCCCATCAGTAAAATTTGAATTCTCAGAGGGGTTTCAGGACACAAACGTTGAGCCTTGCAAGAAAAAAAAAGCCCCCGGGGTCTGTCCTAGTAAACGATTTTTGGACCCCCCCCCCCCCTTTGTTCTCATCTATGAAGATTGTTCAGCACATATCTGTGAAGCTTGTGGATCAATATCCGTTTTCCTTGATTAGGAAAATCATTGAAAGCTTGATGTGTTTCTTTTTTGGTTAAGCATTCTGGTATTTCTGTTTCCAGAGGTTAAAATACCTGATGTGATGAATATGTGTGCTGTCTGTAAAATTTAGTAAATTGTAGGACTTAATAGTCATTGGTATTTAAGTTTTAACTCCTAATTTTGCCGATTAAAACTAGTCTAAAACTGGTTTAAGCTACAATTTGGCAGTTTATTAAGATCCAGTGCTTATTAAAATCAAATGCTATGTTCATAACAAAATGGAAAATATTGATTTTGTTGGTATTTTTGCAATTTGTTGCTAGACATTATATTTTACATAATATTTTTTAAGCATTGCCACATTTTAGTATACCTATACTTGAGCTCAGGGGCGTATTCAGGAATTTGTCCAGGGGGGCTTAAATTTTTTATCTTTCCAGTGGGGGCTCAGTACAGAATGGTAGCCGAGCCCAGGCCAAGGTATTTGATATTATCAAAGCAAATGTAAAACAGTCAGATTGTTTGTCCAATCATAATTCAGGAAACACATGCCTCAAATGTTATTTGGGGAACTCGGTTGGACCACAAAAATGTTCATAGATTGGCTACAAAGACTCAGGGACATTTGTTCTCTAGGAATATACCACAGATTGTAATTACCTTTGGCGCCCATTGCTGAAACAGTCTTACTTCACAATTTGATGTCAATAAAATAAAATATTCACATGTGATTTTACTTCAAGACTTCAATGTTGCTTAAACCTATAACTGAAGGGCTTAAAATCCAAACATATCAACTCAACTCGACATAGCAATTTAATCGAATAATGGCACATGTTTTTATTTACAGTGCGGCGAAGTTGCGTAAGCTGCGTAGTAGAAAATGCCGCAAAATATTTTCTAAACATGGCGTTCTTCTATCACGGACATTTCATAAAAAATTGTATATTTTTAAATCAAGTTAAAAGCAAGAAATGCATCAAATATGATTAATTATCGCAAAAAACTCATTTATAAATGAGATTTTGATCATTTATACTATTTTTGTTTCAATAAATGAATTGTTAATGTAATTAAGATTTGAAAAGTCTTTAATAAAACAATGCCGTACTTTGAAAATACCGGAATTGAAAAAAAAGTTAAATCGTAAACAATCAAAAAAAATATTATAATTCAAGGTCTAAACCGATCGCAAATTTCTCTTTTGTTATTGTCATTTTAAGGAGGATTTTTTGTGTGAAGTTTTTTACATCATGCAATTGTTGCAGCAGTGTCATGCTGTAGTGTTTCTAATTTTAAAACTACTTTCATTTCAGAATAAAATCATGTCTACCCCTGACGACACAAATATATCTCGGTCTGGTCGAATTCGCAAGAAATCGTCGAAACTCGCGGATTTTCAGAGTCCCGACGAAATCTCCGAGGGAACCAAGCAGCGTCGATCCTCCAAAAAAGACGGATTATCCGGAAGTATATTTGATCCTCCGGAAGATTCGGATTCAGAAACTGATTTCGGAATCGATGATCTAGAGATGGAAATTGATCAGTTTGATGTTAAGCTAGAGGTAGGACTAAATACCCTAATTATATTTAAATCCTCACCGAAACTTTAATAGAAAACTAAACAATTAAGATTTTACCATGAAATTTGGATGTAAACATTTTCAAATCTGTATTTCTTAAATTTTAAATTACTATTTTCAAGGATTTGGACGATATTCCAGATCTAGAGGATGACGACTTTTCTGATTCGTCCAGTCGGACGGAAATTGTTAAGAAACCCCTAAACCTACCGATGGTGGAGGTATAGTTTCTATATTATTAATTATTAGTATTTACCAAAATCTTATTTTACTTGCTTGAGAACACTACGTCGCCCAGGGTATTTACAGTTACTCCCCCCGTTTACCCACACTTGGTCGGTTTTAACGGGAAACTAAATTTTTGCTTTTAAAGTGGATCCACTCAATTTAGACTCTCAAAGCCAAGAACATTCCCGTGGTTCTCCCGAATTCCCCAATCAAAATTTGAGGCAGATCGGTCTAGGGGTTCCTGAGTTATGTATAATTCAGGAAACACATGCCTCAAATGTTATTTGGGGAACTCGGTTGGACCACAAAAATGTTCATAGATTGGCTACAAAGACTCAGGGACATTTAACACCCCCCCCCCTCTCTCTCTCTCTTCCCCCATGCTAATCCACGGGAATGTTCTTCGTTTGGATTTGATATTCTAAGTGGGTCCAGTTTTATAGAAAAAATAGCTAATACAACAAAGCACAGGTAATAATCAGGACTAACTTTGACAACGCTGGGTTCCCAAGCTAGTATTCCATAGAGTCACTATCTATTTATATTTCTATCCTATTTATCTATCTACTTATCTATCTTTCTATCCAGGATAAAAGAGGAGGATCTAGTCCTAGGATTTCCCCGTTTCTACTCTGGGCAAAGCATACAAAACCAGAACTAGTGAGGTATTTATTTATTCATCCATAAAAGTAGAATCTTGATAGGTTGTGCACCATTCACTATGATACTTTCCAATAAAATCTTAGGATTACTTAAAACATTTAAAAATAAACGAGAAAAAAAGATAAATAAGAGTAAAAAAAGATAAAATACCAACAAAATATGAAAAGAACTTTATTAAAAAAACAAAAAAATGTTATGCCTTAAAAAAAATTAACAACAGAGAACTCATCTTTTAAATTATTCATATTTACATGCATTAAATCCGCCATATTTTACAAACAGAAGAATAAACAGAAACTTCTAATGCAGATTTATTATGTGAACCACTGTAATTCCTACTGCACCCCTTCAGGGGTTCTTAGAGTTATCCAAAAAATAAACTAAACCTCATAATGGTATCGAAATTCTTAATGTACGTTCAATTGGCTATTTTAAAATGAATTATATCAAATATAAAATAGTATGCTAGTACAAAATGAATTTTACAGACAGAACCCTGGGGTGCCGGTATCTCAGATTAGGTTAAAGTTGACCGAACTCTGGAGATCTGTCCCTAAGGTAAAAAACTATAAGTTGCTAGGATGCTTCGTGGCACTTTTTGTACTTTTTATCAAACAAGAACAATTTCAGATTTCGCCGATTTTAATTTATTCTTTGGTGGATTTTTTAAAAGTTATTTATCATAAATAAACCAAGGTTTTTTTCATAAAAGTATTATTACCCCATCGAAATGTTTTATTTCTTTCTTCATACGGATAAATTTTAGCTTTTTTTCGGTAGAAAAAATATATTTTCTAAATATATATTTGTAAGTTGTTGAAAAGTTTAAAATTAAAGCTAAAATGTTTTATAACACTCTCTAATGATGAATGATGATCTTGATTTCTATGATTAATTAATTTGATAGCTATAGACAATAGTCTTGATTGCCCATGAACAAATATTATAATCATTATGTAAAATCAATATTAATTTCAACTTTTGTTTTTAAGGTTGAAAAGATTGCCTGGGGGAAGAAATTAAAACGACTTATCTCAAAAACATCTCCACAGAAGGTATTATGATTTGTTTTTATAAAAAGATGATGCAAGTATAGTACGTTGATTTATATCACACTTCTTTTAAGTGACAGGATTTTAATTAACTGAAATCAAATACTAAATTGAGATTTTCCGTGATTTACTCTTAAGTTCCTCACATGAACTAGTAGGAAACCCAGCTTTGCCTGGAAACTAAAGAACTCTTTGACTTAACCTAAGATGAATTAAACCAAACTTAAAGAAATCTTGTCAATTAACAAAGTTCCTAATCGCAGGCAAATCAGTAAATAGATTCATGAGTTATGAACTTATGACAGGACATACAAATAATAAATTTTAAAAAAAGAGAATACGTAGATGAGTTTTTTTTGCCCTAATATATTGAACAAATTTACTAGGTTGGCCTGATGTCTTCTCCTGCTGCTATTCTCAAATCCCCCCTGGGTTCACCTCAGTTAGATATTAAACTTAATACAGGTTATACAGTACACCATGTATTCTATGCAGAGTACAGTACATTTCTCAAATCCCCCCAGAGCCCAAAACTTAAGTCAGGGTATCGTTATAAAAACCAGTTTTGAAACCCGGGTTTCACGAATGGGATTAGGCAGTTCTGTAGATATCAAATTTTTGTTATGAAATATTATATTATTTAGTTTCTTCATATTATCCTTCTTTCGAATCTCTTAAATTTAAATCTACTTAAATGTTAAGACCCCGGAATGGAAACTCGGGAGTTTCATTCAACGATACTCTTTTAAATTTCGGGCTCTGAGCCCGAAATTTAAAAGAGTATCGTTGAACGAAACTCCCGAGTTTCCTTTTTGGGGTCTTAACATTTGTGTACATTTTGATTTAAGAGATTCGAAAAAATGGAGACTATAAAGAAATTGAAAAAAATAACATTACTTTACAAAAATATTGATATTCACAAAACCCCATTCGTGAAACCCGGGTTTTAAAACTGGTTTTCATAACGATACCCTGTCTTAAGTTTTGGGCTCTGAGCCCAAAACCTAAAACAGGGTATCGTTATAAAAACCAGTTTTGAAACCCGGGTTTCACGAATGGGGTTAGGCAGTTTTGTAGATATCAATACTTTTGTTATGAAATATTATTTTATTTAGTTCCTTTGTATTCTCCTTTTTTTCGAATCTCTTAAATAAAAATCTACTTAAATGTTAAGACCCCGAAATGGAAACTCGGGAGTTTCATTCAACGAGACTCTTTTAAATTTCGGGCTCTGAGCCCAAAACTTAAGACAGGGTATCGTTCTGAAAACCAGTTTTAAACCCCGGGTTTCAAGAATGGGGTTAGGCAGTTTTGTGAATATCAATATTTTTGTTATGAAATATTATTTTATTCAGTTTGTTTATATTCTCAATTTTTTTCTAATCTCTTAAAATCGAAATCTACACAAATGTTAAGACCCCAAAAAGGAAACTTTTGAGTTTTGTCCAACTATACTCTTTTAAATTTTGGGCTCTGGGGTCTCCTCACTCAGCTAGATATTAAACTTAATACAGGTTATATAGTACACCATGATATTGTACAGTACATAGATATTTAGTACTGTACAGTTCTTAAATCACCCTTGTCTCCTCAGCTAGACATAAAACTTAATCGAACACAATTTTCAAACAAAATGATAATTTTCTCGAGAACTCTGGATAAGACAAAGTTTTAATGGGCACCGTTGTTAAACGGGATGAAGAATCTAATATTACATCTTTGTTCAGGAAAAGCTCCAGAATCTGAACCAGTTTATATTGCTTCCCATCTTAAACTCCTAGGTTTGTTGTCATTAATTCAAGACATTTCAATCCATTGTTTTCAACAATAATGTTTATTATTTAGGAAAGCAAAGCAAATAAATTTAATTTTTAATATCGATCGATCAGTCAATCAGTCAATCACTCAATCAATCAATCTATCAGCAAGTTAATCAATCAATGATTAGGGGAAAGTTTATCGATTATTGGAGAACGGCTGACCGAGCACGAAGGTCAAATTGCTGTTTCAGGTAAAAAAAATTTAAAATTGTTCGGGGGATGGTGGGGGGGGGGGGGGGTTTTAAAATTAAAACTATTTTTCAGTCAATGCTAATTGTTCTCAATTTTAAGTCCTTAATTCCCCAATGTTTCAGGCTCCCAAAGTGTTCTCCTTGACTCCCCAAATGTTTCAGGCTCCCAAAATATACTGACTCCCAATGTTTTAGGCTCCCAAAACATACTCTTTGACTCCCAATGTTTTAGACTATTTAAGTTTATTTGTTTTAATCCATAATGTTTTAGGCTCTCTAAGTTTTCTTGTTTAATCCATATTGTTTTAGGCTCCTTAAGTGTGCTACTTGACTCCCTGTTATGCGCTATGGGACCTCTCATGTGTCTTACTCAGAGGAAATTATTAAAACAAACTTACAACGTTTCACGATTCAATGTTTTTCTTCGTGTAAAATTTAAGTTTTGCATTTTCTGTTAAAAAAAGAGTGAAATCTATTCAATCCGGGTAGTACAGCGGGACCCATAAAACTGTGGAATAGGATGACAACTCAAGTTATGATCTTGTCCAATGAACATTAATAACAGGTATTGTGCAGAGTACATACACAGATTTATTTCACTTAAAGGTTGAGTTTCAAGCTGATGCTTAAGCTTGCTTTATAATATCATCGAAAACACATAAGATTGCTTCATTTCATATTTTTATTCTAAGCACGAGATAATACAAATAACAAATCACAATTTACTATGTTGTTTGGACCCGCCTAACCAGAGTTGGTTGTTTTGATTGGTTGGCCCATTATAAGCGAATAAGAATTGTATATGTACACTGTACACTGTACAGTGTACAGTGTACATTTTAAACAAAACAATGATGATAAATCATGAATAAGGTAAGAAGGGGGTGAAAAAGTATAAGGGAAAGGGTGGGTACTCAGCGGAAGGATTGTAACAGAGGGTAACATATATTATTAGATTCATGTTTATGAATTACAGGGTTAAGAAGATAGTAAAGACTAAGTTTATCCAGATGAAAATCAGTTATTTGTTTTACAGATAAACTTACAAAACTATCTAAATATTTTTTGAAGATTTTTCTTTTAAACAGTTTTGCAGATTTAGTTTCTTTAAGCTCTAATTCAATCGAATTCCATAATTTTGGAAATAAAGCGGAAGAAAAATATTCTAGCGTTTTAAAAAGAACCCGCTCAAGTTTATATGATTTTGTTCTATTTGGTTCAGCTAAAGAATTAAACATATCATGGAAGGAAGTTGGAAGGTTTTTATAAAAGTATTTATGCATAAAAGATAAATGTCGACTTCATACTCCACGGTTTCATTGGGCCCAACTGTAATATTTTTAACAACGCGAAATAAAAGATGAAAAAGAATAATATTAAAGGAACTGAGGAGGTAATTTCAAGTGATCCTATATAGTCCGAGGGGCATGTCCTAATCACATCAGTACCCTTTAAACTTTTGTCTGGGAAAAATTAATTATCTCAGTCCTTCTCTTTACAAAATTATTGTTTTCAAATTGGTTTTCTCTATTAAATGGACTTGCGGGTTTAAAATTCTTTAATTTTTCTAAAATTGAAATTGCAATGTCAATTCCTTTTAATATATTTCTCCACTAGGTTTAATTTCGTTGAATTTCTGAGATTTTAAAACTTGTTTAACTTGATAATTTGTTTGAATGATTGTTGAGCAGAGTACCGGAACTGAATGGAGCTGACCCAAACCTACTCGCCCAAACATTGGATAATGTCGCCTACATCATGCCAGGACTTTAATTCTCTAGTATTGAGACTGAAGAGGAGTAAACCTGGATAGTGGATATCTGGATATCTGGATATCTAGATACCTGGATACCTGGATACCTGGATACCTTGATACCTTGATACCTTGATACCTGGATACCTGGATACCTGGATACCTGGATACCTGGATACCTGGATACCTGGATACCGCGATATCGGAATACCTGGATATCGGGATACCTGGATAGTGAATACCTAGATACCTGTATACCTAGAAACCTTGATACCTGGATACCTGGATATCTGGATACCTGGATACCTTGATATCTGGATACATGGATACATGGATACCTAGACGTTGACACCTTTTGCTGTTCCTTAATGTGTATATGTCGGGGTTCATCTAGGATCAATTTGGATATATGTAAATAAAAAAATCAGTATTACATGGAATCCAGATACCAGAGATTAGAACTTTTGAGTGAGATCAAATTAAGCCAAACAAATTTACTCATCTTCAATTTTAAGTTTTTAAATGTTGGAGTTTAACTCTTTGAATTTATCAATATATTGTCAAATTACTTTTTTCTCTGGTTCAATCTAGCAATTCATGATCTGATCTTTAAACATTAACCAATGAAAAACACGTTTCTCTTAGGAAATAGTTTAACTTATTCCCTTTCATTTAAAAGTTCTGAGCTTCGTAGACCTTTCACTATCCGTATTCCTAACTTAAATATTTTTGTCAATGTCTGTCTTGAATATATTATGAATAAAAACTATAATTTATCTCAGATAAAAATGTCTAGTGGTTTTGTTACCGAAGCTGAGATAGAGGAAAGAAAGCTGAAAAGACAGGTAAGACATGATGGTGTTAAGTATGGAAATTTACCTATGTTAGGAAGAGTGGGAGCAGGTTTGGAATATAATAAATGTATATTTAGGAAGAATGGGACACGGTTAGGAAAATAATAAATATATAATTAGGAAGAATAGGACCAGGTTAGGAATATAGTAAATATATATTTAGGAAGAATGGGACCAGGTTAGGAATATAATAAATATATAATTAGGAAGAATGGGACCAGGTTAAGAATATAATAAATATATATTTAGGAAGAATGGGACCAGGTTAGGAATATAATCTATATATAAATTTGGCTTGTCTGTCTGTTTGTTTGTATCCAATAAACGTCAAAACGGCTGAACTGATCGGGCCCAAATTTTTTGTGGGACATCACGTGACCACAGGGAAGGTTTATGAATGATCAAAATTTCAAATATTTGTCTCCATCAAAATTCGATCTTCATTAAATTTTTGAAAATTTTGAAAATCCACGAAATTTTTTGTGAAAATCCACGAATTATTTTTGTTTTGTTTTACGATGTACACAAAGAGAACATGTTCACAATTAATTTTGAAGATGGGCCCTAAGGCTAGTTTTGATATAAACAAACAAAAAAAATGTTTTTTAATCGTGTCTTCACTTTTTAGTGAGATCACGGGCCATTAAAGTGTATGAAAATATTAGAATAATTGAGTGTTTATCATTTATAAGCTATAAAAAGCTTTTGACAACCTCAAAAGCTCCGAAATTAAACACATTAAATAAGATCTAGAAGTTTAGGTTCATTAAAAATCCGCGATTTTAGTAAAAACAAATCGACACTTGAGAGACAGTAAATAATTCAGTCTTTATCTCTTTTATGATGCATCCAGCAGTGTATAAAAGAAAAAGTAATTTTATCTGTATTTTAGTAATCCTCTGGATTCACAACAATGAGGTAGGGTTCAATATTTTTTATTTCCGTTTTTTATAAGTCAAAATTGCATTTGGGTTGACATTTAGACAAAGCCCGGGTAAACAGTGGGACTAACTATGACTGCCGTGGGTTCCCAAGCTAGTTCTTAATAAAATTTGCTTTCATTACATTTACGCAAAATGTATAGTCTGGCAGAACCAATAAGCATAGACAATTTTTTATATCGTTCTTTAAGGTTAACAAAAGGTTACGTCCTTGTTCATGCTTAAATCTTCTGTCAGAGTAAAAAACTGATGCATGTTCAACTTCACAGATTTTTAAAAAAAATAACTAAAAATATAAAGTTGTAATCTCTTTTTCTCTGTTTGTTTGTTCGATCATAACTTAGGAAACCTTGGACCGATTTGCCTCAAATTTTGTTTGTGGAACTCAAAAGAGCGACGGAAATATTTTTACTATGGTTTTAAGATTCCAAGTTGAATGAGTTTTTTAAATTCGACCAAGCGCGGGTAAACGGTGGGAATAACTATGGGATCCTGGGCAACGCTGGGGTCCTAAGCTAGTTTTTTTAATTTAAAATTCGGTAATGGTGATGGACCAAACCTCGATGTAGAGTAAAACAAAGTAGAAGTTAGTTCCACATTTATTGAAAATTTCGGTCTAGGACGACCTCGTCATTTCTACCGATAAAATAACCATCAAAATCGATAAAAAAAAAATTTAAAACCACAAGAAAATAAACAAACAAAAAACATTATTTAAAAAAAGAATTGGGCTGTCAAGTGAATAAAAAGGAACAAACTCAGATCATGAGATGGAAAAAAGATAATTTGAAAATATTCACTTTTTAAAAATGTTTTAAGGCAATTATTATTCCTTGAGATTGTTTCTGTCAGGAAGATTAAAAACAAACTGTTTAGATGTATGTGACGTGTATAAAGTGGTGGTGGGGGTCGATCAAATTAATAAACTTTTGCATAAATCGGGGGGAGGGAGATTGGTTTAGGAGGGGTATTTAAACTTTACATAAACAAAAACATAAACAATACTCTTTTTTAAAAGAAATACTGAATTACAGTTTACAATCAACAATAAACTTTTTTCTGTTCATTCCTGTGAGATCAGTCATAAAATCTCTCGTGTATTTAGATTCTTGTACTTCAAGTAAACTTCTCCCAAGGTCCCAAACCTTCTCTAGTACGCTAACTTTTAGACGAAACTTGAAAGTAGGGAATTTACTTGACGATAGAACCACAAATTTGTTTGAAAAAAAAGACAGGATGGGTTTTGGAATTTCAAAAGCTAGCACAAAACTACGAAGGTTCCAACATTTTAAAATATGCTTGCTGTAAAAGTTTGCTTTGATCATGGATTAACTAGATCCATGGCTTTGATTAAATCGTGCAAAACAAAATTCTTAAACCAAAACGAATCGACAAACTATCTTTTTTTTAACCAATTGTTTTTTCATATACAGGGGGACCCACGATGGATAAGTTTTTAATGAACAAACTCCGTGTACAGTCGTCTTTGAAGTCTCGTTCTCTCTGGGTAACCCTGTAGCTTCTCACAGTGGTCTGATGTGGCATAGTGTTAGATAAGCAAATGTTGAGAGAAAATTTTTTTTAGAAAATTCTTAGATTTATGTGGAACCTTAGATTTATGTGGAACCTCAGGTTTATGTGGAACCTTAGATTTATGTGGAACCTTAGATTTATGTGTAACTTTATATTTATGTGGAACCTTAGATTTATGTGGAACCTCAGGTTTATGTGTAACCTTAGATTTATGTGTAACCTTAGATTTATGTGGAACCTTAGATTTATGTGGAACCTTAGATTTATGTGGAACCTCAGGATTATGTGGAACCTCAAGTTTATGTTAATGTTCCTAATTTAATATGTTTTCTCGTTACTTTCCCTACTGTGCCTTATTACGAATATATACACATATCAAATTCATTTCAGAGTGTTGATATTATTGAGCCTGCTTGGCCTGGCGTTTGCCACCGAAGATGTCTTCCTGAACTTCGCCAAGGAGTTCAACAAGTCCTACAAGGATGGAAAGGATCTTATCAGCAGAAGGTAATTAATTCAAGCAACAGTAGAGGTAATTTCAAGTGACCCTCCAGTCCGTAGGCATGTCTGATTTCAATGGTACCCTTTAAACCTTCATCTGAGTTACAATGAGGAATATCAATTTTCACCTAGAAAAATAAGGAGGCAAAGGTTGAAAAGGTTATTGTTGAGAATCAGACATGCCACAGTGAACATTGAGAATCTCTTGTAATTACATCTATAATCCTTTTTTAGAGGTGAAAAATTACAACAATAACAAAAAAGATTAAATTACTAAATTTGATTCATTTCAGGGCTATCTTCATGAACAACTATGAAAAAATGGTGAAGCACAATGAAAGGTATGCAAGTATTAAATAATAATAATTTCTGGTACAGGGATCACTAGAAAAATACAGTGGTGGGTGATTATATCAATACAATGAAGACAACTTTTTTATTTAAGTTTTGATTGTTAACAAGCTTTTTTTGAATTACGAATTACAAGTAATCAAAGAGAAGCCTATTTTTTAACACCTTCTCTTTATTTTCATGTTAATTTTCATGTTATTTAATGGTAGCATTGGTCACAGCAATTGTGCAGTGTAAACAGACCCATTTCCACTTAATTAGTGAATTATGTATTTTTTGGGTGGAAGAGATTTTGAGACTGAGAGTAAATGAATTTGGGGGGAAATAAGATTGTTTTAAAATTGAAATTGATTTTTTTCTAAACAGGAAACGTCTAATAAACCTAGTTATGAGTTTTAATAGTCAAATGAAGATGAAATGCTGCAATTGTGCAGTTTATGCAACTCTAATTACCTTTTTAAGTTTAGTTTCAAGATACTACTAATTTTCTTTATATTAAATGTTGTTTTCCTATTCCAAAGTTTTATGGGTATTACTGTATTTCTATTTAAACTTCATCAGACCTTATAAATAATTACCTCTGTAATATCCAGGTATGAGGCTGGTCTTGAGAGCTGGGCCCAGAAGGTTCACGAGGATATGGATCTCACCAGTGCAGAGTGGATGAGTAAGAGGACAGGTATAGTTCTCACATTTGAATTTATAATGCACCACTGAAAAGTTATTTACTTTCAATATCAAACTGCTACATAAGTCTTTCAAAAATTCAGCTTAGAAGCTTATACTATATACAAAACTTCTGGGATATTCCAAATATTCTGTTCTTCATTGAAGCATTTTGATGGAAAACGTCCAGAATTTCTATCAAAATTTTATAATATTTAAATAAAAGAGATTTTCATTTTGTAAATCTATTAGAGCAAGACAATTCGTTCTTTCAGGTGGACTTCCTTTGTATGATGAAAAGACCGAATTCGTTGATACTCTTGATGAAAGAATTGTTGCCAAGCTGAAGGAAATGAAAGGAACTCCCAGGGAGTTTAGCTGGACTGACAGTGGTGCTGTTACCTCTGTGAAAAACCAGGTAAGCAAACATTCCAAAGTTCAGAAGTGTTCTAAATAAACTGGGTTCATGTGTTAGGTCCAGTGTTGCCAACTCCAAAAGAGGGGTCTAGGCCGGAGAGAGCATACAATTAGGCCCAAAATCCAATCTTTAGGCCCATATTTTAGAATTAGGGGCGAAGCCCCCCAACAACAACAGAAATTGGGGGGCAAAGCCCCCAAAAAAGTTTTGGGCCTGAAAGCAAATTTTTGGGCCTAATTTTGAATATTTTACCAAAATAGCTAATTTATTGCTACTTTTGATTCAAATATATTCCAGCATAAATATCTGAATAGAAAATTAGCCTCTGCAACCACATTCAATTTCCATTAAAATTTTTAAAATGCACAACATTTTTTGACGAAATCTGCAACTTTTTTTGTATTGTTTTATATAGATAATATATATATAAAACAAAGAGAAAATGTTCTCAATTGATATAGATGGCACGAAACGACCTGAAAGCTAATAAATTATAATATTCATTTGTATAGAATCCATGATTTGTTCCAGTTTCTACCCAAGGGAATTGGTTCAGACATCTCCATGTTTTAAACTTTAGTTTACTATAATCAACCTTGATATATGAGGTCTGTGAACAATTCTAAAACTCATGAAGTAATTTCATTCTTACTTTATCCAAACAATGCCTGGCTGTTTTCTTTACCAATTAAGATCAACAATTTTCATTCGGCCCACAATTTCCTTAGGCCCAAAGCAATTTCATTCGGGCTGTTTTCTCGTTTTGGGCCTAAGATTCGGCGGTTGGCAACACTGGTTAGGTCCATTGGCATTAATATCAGAAAAGTTCATTACCATTAAATAGTGTAGAATAGGAGAGACAGTAAAATTAAATGCCATTTAACAAGGCTAAGTGAACTGTGCATATTAGTACAAACTGTTTGCCAGATCTGTCTTCAGTCATTTAGTAAGGTCTAAAATAGGTTGAATACAATAAAAGGACTTTTGCTAATTTCAGATTTCTCATTTTGATTTTTGTTATACTTGAACTAAAATAAAATGAAAAATCGTTTTATTTAGGCGCAATGTGGAAGCTGTGCGGCCTTTTCAGTAATTGGAGCTGTAGAATCTTGCTTCAACATCCAGAGAGGAAAAGTTATTGATGATCTCTCTGAACAACATATCCTGGATTGTGCATACAACCACCAGGTTTCTGATGAAAGGTATAGTTGTTTTCTTACCAACATGGTTGCACCTGAATCTATTATATGTGAATACTATCTCCCCATACCCTGAAACTTGATGCTTGTATCAACTTTCTGGGGCAGATTTGTACTGTTGGGGACAATGTGTGGGCTTCCAAAGACTATCTTTTGCTTGTCTTCTAGATCTTGTATAAACACTTAACTCTTCTTCAAAGAAAAATGCTATACAAAATAATAATAATAATAATGATAGTGGTACATGGGGAGCATTCGGTTGTGATGGAGCTTGGCCTAATGCGTATGTTGACTGGCTGATGGGAAAAAACTACAACCAAATTGAGTCTGCTTACCCATACACATCTGGCAGCTCTGGACAAGTTGGATCATGCAAGTAAGACATTCTACACTTGCTAAACATGTTTATAATAAAGTAGATAATATTAAAACCTAGAACTGAGCAAAATTCCAAGTTTATGAAATCATCCAAAAAATCCAAAAGTTAAGGAAAAGAACTTTTGATTTAGTGGTAAAAAAAAAGTAGAATAAACCCTTTATTTAAAAAATAATAAATAAAAATTTTCTCTGAAATTCATGCCTACCTGAGGTATGTCCTACAATTTGTATTTTTTTGGAATTTTAGACAAAAAACCTTTTACTAGATGAGTTGGCCTGAAAAATGTATTATTGAAAAATGAGCTTTGAAAATTAATGGAAATTCTGTTCACAAATGTTTTGTTAGTTACTTGATGGCTTATCTGTTGATTTTTTAACTTAATGACTATGACAATAATATTAAAAGTATTAACATAAAAAGCATTAATCAAAACATTTTCTGTTTAGAGCTTCCAGTAATGGAGCATACACAGATGCTTGGGTTACTGGTATGTACAATGTCTGGTACTGCAAAGAGTCAGACATGGAGAACCTTGTCATGATCAACCCTGTCAGTACTTCTCTTCAGGTATTTATTTCTCAGCAACCATAAGTAGTTTGAAAAAAGTATCTTACTTGTGACTTTAATTAAACATGTAGTGAAGTATCCCAGTTTTTCATTCCAGTTTTTAACAAAATCAAAAAATGGAAAAATGAAATTTTTTCTTACTTCTACCCATGAACTTTTTGTTTACAGACTAGAAAAAAGGATGGAAAATTGGAGCTAGGTTGATTATGATTTAAATCAATTCAGCCATTAATAATTTTTAAGTAACAGACTAATTCCTTGTACATCAAGTCTTTCCTTCCGGAGGGGAGAAAGACCAGCCACAACAATTTCAAGTCCAAGCCACATTCTTCTCATTTTCTCATCCGAACCACCTCGAAATCCTTGTCCTTTGAATATTATCTTTTTAAAGGGTTCAATCCTCCAAGATAAAACAATTTTCTAAGAATCAGGTCACGTTAGAGCATAAGCGAAATATTAAATTTTTGGAAATCGAAAAAAATACTTTCAATAGAATTAAAGTTTTGAGTGCAATGTCCTAAAAAAATATTACATTTTATACACATTTTTACACGCATTTTCAGATTTGTAGCTGGCCTTCCTCCCCTCCCTTATGAGTTGGCAATAAACTAGCAAAATTAAATTACTGAAGTAAATAACAATATAGCTTCTAGCATATCAAAAACATGATTGTTGTGCAGGCTACAGATAACTGGGGTGGATACAGTCATGGTGTAATGGATGATAGAATGTGCTGTGATGCCGCAACCGATTCCAGCTGTATGTAAGTAAATATTCTATTATAAGCGCATTCATAATGTTATAGGATTTTTGGTTTATAGCATTTAAAACTTGATTTAGGAGGGGAATCTCGTCTAGTTTTAGCAGATATAAAGAAAATTATTTATCATAGAAACTAAGAATGGAACATGAGATATCTTTTAGTTACTCAGAATAATCTTTTCCTTTCAGGCCAAAGGCACTTTTTTGGGTTTATACAATACACTATTGTAGTGTGTTTTCACACCAAAACTTTCTAAAGCCTAAAGAGCCTCAACCAGAATCCTATATCAAATTGTTGGTATAAAGTAGAGAATGCTCCATTTTTAAGAATATTGATAAAAATATTACATTTAGTTACAACCTGAACCATGCTATCCTTGTTGTTGGATTTGGACATGATACTGCATCCGGACTAGACTACTGGCTTATCAAGAACTCATGGGGATCACGGTATGTTTACAACATAATTTTTGTGAAACAGCAACCAAAGTGACTATTTATCTATCTACAAGACTTCTCAAGGGGGACAGGGGTCCAGAACCTAGTTTTTATATAAATTCAGACTTAAAAGTTGACTATATTTTATAAAAATTATATTTACCCTGCAAACCAAGCGCCAATATTTCTTATTTTTAAAATTACTGAAATTTAGTTTTTTGAGAAAAGGATTTCTTTCTTCAATGATTTCAAAATATGATTAACTACCTTTAAAATCCCTTTCACTAGTAACTTTTTGGTTTAAACATTTGAGAATGTGTTTTCTAGTTGGGGAGAGTCTGGATACATGAAGCTGAAGAGAGGAACTGGACATTGTGGAGTTGGATCACTTCATCAAACTATTCCTCATTGTTAACTTTTAGATTGAAATATATTGATAAGATCATATTTTGAGTATGAATCTTTGCGTAATCAACAGTGCATCCTCAGTATTTTTGCTGCATCATGGATTACTACAGATCATGTTGATAGATGTATCGCCAGCTAACAGCCTAACATCATGATAAGGCAATAACTTGTTTTCAAAATTTTGAAGTTTTCGGACTCATAAGATGTTTTAAAAGTTAAAAAATAGTTTTTTCTAAGTATCTTCTTTTCTTCCCGAGAGAAGATATATGCTAAACTTGAACCAAAAATTATTGTTTTTTTGATTAGTTATTTCTTCTTAGGGTAACAATTTTGCATAGTTTGATAAAAGTAAACTTTTACAGAATACATTTTCTATACGTTAGAACCATATTTTTGTGAAACAGTATTTTGTGTTTCCTTTAAAAGTCTGAAAACTTTGAAAGTCTAAGTAATAATCAAACTTTTACATAAGGGACACTGGGAGTTAATTTCCTGCTTCCACATTCTACAGGTTTACGCCCGCATACACCAGCCTCAGCATACAGGGTTAAAGGATGGGATCGAATTCAGCAACGACTTTCTTTTATTCTCAATCAAAATTATGTCACCAGACAGTGGTAAACTGGTTTCTTTCATTGCATATGACATTAAAAGACTTAATGTATTGCAAAAGCCTTTAAGTTCCGCCTTTGAACCATTAGATTGAAAGAACATTAGGACGTCTTTAAAGTTTCAACCTGTGTGGGTAACCCTGAAGGATAATACTTTACTAAAAGATTGGGCAAAGAAAGAAACAAGTTGACACTGACGACTCTGTGAAGGTCTAGTCCTTTTCTGAGTAACTCTGTAGTTTCTCAAAACACTATCTTACAAATGTTTGAATAGTTTAAGGATACAGATTTTTGTTTGCATGAAAGATAAAACTATTACGCAGTTTTATTGAAGAAAAAAATGTTTAATCTTCTTTTTAATTCTGTCAATGCCAAGAAATTGATAAGACTTATTCAAGCGGGGAGGCTATGGGAAATATTCATAAATACGCCTGGCCAGAGGTGTAGTCAGGAATTAAATGCAAATATTAACATATGTACATATGTGTATCTTTGAGTGTAAATAATTAAATTAATAAAATAATAATGAAAAATTGAGAAACATTATCTGAATCATGGACCATTAACCATATATTAAATTCGATCGGCATTAAATTTTTTAAATTTTTGAAAATCCGCGAAATTTTTTGTGAAAATCTGCGAATTATTTTTGTTTTGTTTTACGATGTACACAAAGAGAACATGTTCACAATTAATTTAGGAGATGGGCGCGAAGCGCCCTCTAAGGCTAGAAAGAAGGGCGCGAAGCGCCTTGAATTTCTAGTTATATAAATTTGGCTTGTCTGTCTGTTTGTTTGTATCCAATAAACGTCAAAACGGCTGAACCGATCGTGCCCAAATTTTTTGTTGGACATCACGTGACCACAGGGAAGGTTTATGAATGATAAAAAATTTTTAAAAATGTGTTTTAAAGGGTTTTAATTTTGTAAAGAAAAATTAGTTCTTGAAAATCAGCGAATTTTTTTTTAATTCCGCAAAATTTTTTTCTTCTTTGTTTTAAAATGTAAACAAAAAGAACATGTTCACAATTTAAATAGAAGATGGGCGCGAAGCGCCCTAAAAGCCTAGTATTAAATAAGCCATTTAAAGATAATATTCAAAACAGAATACGTAATTGTTACCGAGTTTGTTGTATGATTGTTGTCCATTTGTTATCAAATTTTGTCAATAAATAAAAAAAACAAATTTTTGGCGCTGCGTGCATCATTTCTAATTCTATAAGAATTTCTTATCATTTTCTCGTTTTTGACTTAAAGACAGTCAGTCATTGACTCATTCTTAACTTATCCTCTCAAAAAAACCTGTATATATGTTACTTCTTGTGAGTATTACAATACAACCATTTAATGTTAATGTTACACAAAACCTGACAACCTAAGAAGAATAGCAAGAAATATAATAAGGATTATCGGACTCCTAGGACTTTTGCAGACTATAGTAGAAAAACAGGGATACGCCCTTTACTTCCAGGAACTTACTCACTACTTAGGACTGCGCAGACCTATAACGATTAAAAAATTGCTGTATACTGTAATAGGGAACATAGTGAATATGACAAAGCCTGGGACTAATGGACACTAAGAAATACATGAAAAGAAATTTTTATCTGCTTCGCGCACATGTTTAATATTTTTTTTCATGTTGTTCATGTTAAAGCTGTTGGAAGTTTTTTTTAACACAAGAACAAGCTATGAATATTTTAAGAATTTGATTTATTTTTAATCCTTTTCCGCCTGGGAATTAGGATCAACGCAGGGTTTTTTTTATCGACTGCCTGAGTCCTCAGGCATACTGCCTGAATGCCTTATTTTACCTTTACCGGAAACTCTATATATAGACCTACTTCCGGTGATTGGATTTAGACTTTTTATAGCTTTCCGGAAAGCCTTGAATGAACAAAAGGAAGAAGATTGCACAATTTTTGCCAAGAAATTTCGCATAGATTTTTTGCCCAGATGCCTTTCATGAGAATTTGCACATTTGCAGTTTTCAGTTTTAAAATACATATTTAGTTTTTGTATATATTTTTGCATATTTAAATTCGCCATGATAAGGGCTTTTTAAAATGTATAATTTATCATATTTCGCGCAATTTTTGTTTTTTCACATTTGTTGCTTAATAACTTGATATTTCCATAAATAGTTGAAATTTTGTAAATGTGCAATTTTTTGCACATTTTTTAAGTGGCGCCTAAGGGCTTTCCAAATATGCATCAACTGTTATAGATTTGTATCACAATAAGGAAATAGAGTTGGAAGTTTCTGGGACCCCCCCCCCCCAGACGTACTAATACCACTTCCCAGCCCTTTAAAATCAAATCCCCCCCCCCCACAAAAGTGCTAGTTGCGCCACTGAACAACATTCTTTTGATCACCCTGTATGGAAACTATTGAGACAGTTTTCCATGTCCCCCCCCCCCTGTAAACAAGAGATTGGGCAAGATCTCGTAGATCTTGGTCCATTAGGTCGCATTACACGGTTTACAGGGAATCATTACCCTATCATCATATTATATTATATTTATTTCTCCAATATATTTTCTTAGATGTTTACATTTTCTTTCATGCTTTAAAGGGAGTATTCGCAAAAAAATTAAAGGGGGTATAGGTAGACGTGTAATGGTTTAAAAAAGATTCATACCGTAGAGCGTAGGACCCATTCCCATTATTCCAGTTACAGATCGAAAATAATTCAATTAAATATCGAACTAGTCAGTCAGATAGTAAAACCTACAATTGTCGAACATAATTCGATGCATTCCTATAAATTTGATATTTTATAGTATTTTATTATTTTGTTTTTTTGTTATATTTAATTAACACTTGTTTTCACGACTGGCGCTGGATTTTCGAACGTTCCTGGAAAATATGAAAATGTCGTCTTCATTATATAAAATCCTTGAAAGTTTAAGATTGAAGTTTTTCAAGAGAAACATTCGGATCCTATGAAATAAAAAAACATATGGACTAATTGTAATCAGATTGCAGACAATTTTTAGAAAATTATGCTAATTGAGAATATAAATATTAATTTTTCTTTGAAATCTGGTATATGTCAAACATTTAATTACCTTCTCTTTAACACTTTAATATCAGGGGATGCATAGTTATGTTCTGCCAGGATCTGTGTAGAGGTAACTGAGACTGGTCTTGGCAAAAACACTGTGGGTTTAGCGGATTTCTTTAATACTTTCCTTGTCTACTGTTTACATACTGTATATAAACAGATGCCGCAACCCGTATTTTTCCTATGTACTGTATGTCACTACATGATCTATACCGATTTCCTTCTGTCCCTGATCTCTGTCCTTATTGCAAAGACGACAGATTACACCCCTTGTATGTCAGGCTGTGACAACCGTCTTGTGTTTACTTTACAGCCCAGAGACAGTATACTGCAGTACTAAAAATGCGTACACCTCTGAAATAACCAAGGTACTAATGCAAGGAAAGTTAATTGCTGTCGCGTATACTCTGCGTACATATTGAAACCAGTTCTCTAGTTTCCTATGACCAGAATATTTCATAGATTATTTTTGTGAAAATGGATTCCATGTCAGGCTGTGACATCCGTCTAGTGTTTACTTTTCCGCCCAAAGACAGTACACAGCAGTTCAAAAAATAACTTTCCTTGCATTAGTACCTTGGAAATAACTACCTTTACATTATAATTTTTTGGTTGTTAGAATATGTTTATATATCTAGATTAACGAGAATTCTCCTAGAAGGGGCTGGTTCATTCGGTTATACTGTCCCATTTTGCCTGGTACAATCTGTATGTGTATTGTGTACTATACGTTTTTTCCCACGAAATAGTTTGCTTTAACAAAGACGACATTCAAAATATATTGCGGGTTTACAGAATCCATCTATTCAAGGATAAATATATAAACGGAGCTGGGAACTTTTGAATTGTGGATATCGGGATTAAGGCTTGATCCACTCTTTTTCTTAATCTCGAGATTAAATAATGCTTGTTCTCCTCTTGTTATTAATCTCCAGATTAATTGACCGATCGGGATTAAGGATATCCCATTCTAAAGTTTTCAGCTCTGGTAAAGTAATTATAAATCGAAATCATTACAAATCAATGCAAGCTACAATTGATACAATGTTTATCAATGAAAATATTATAAGAAAATAGTCATTTGTCCATTATTACCATGAAACACAAGACAAATGCATTTTAAGGGGAGTATTGTGACATAAACCAGTGACCTCCCTGACCCCCTAAAATGTTAATCAAGAAAAACTAAAAATGTGCAAATTTCCTTTGACAGGTTGTTTGCAAAAAATTTACAATTTTTTTCGTAAAACTTGTGCAATTCGTTTCCTTATGTCAAAGGCTTTCCAAAAAGCTAAATTTTATCAAAATCTGACAAGTGGAAGTGGGTCAAAACAAAGATTTAGTTTGTTACAGGAAAAAGCAGTCATTCAGACAGTGTGCCTGAGGACTCAGGCAGTAAGTATTAAAGCCCGGTTTTAGGCCTAAAGGGAGGGCTGGGGTATGTAGGAAAAGTGAGAAAATGTCAACAGCCTCAGACCAATACTTTTTGAGTTATGTAAAAAAAAACTACAGGGGGGGTCAAATTGATCCCCCCCCCCCCAGCAGGAATAGGGTTAAGTAGAAAATGAATATCTTATTCAATCTTTCGTGATCAGTCAAAAAGTTTGAAATAACTTAGACTCAAGGTTATAATGCACAGAAAGTTACTGCAGTTGCGTATACTCTGCGAACATATTGAAACAAGTTCTCTCTGGGCGGAATTTGTAAACAAGAGTGTTGGTTTAGTATCCGAGGAGGATAAAAGCATTGTATTTTGAAAAGTTTATTTATTCACAAAATAGTTTCCTATGACCAGAATATTACATTGATTTTTTGTGTGAAAGATGGATCCCACGTCAGGCTGTGACATCCGTCTTGTGTTTACATTACCGCCCAGAGACAGTTCACTGCAGTACAAAATATGCGTACACCTCTGAAATAACTTTCCTTGCATTATAACCTTGGACTAACTCACGTCTGCAGCAAGAAATATATTGTTCCTTGGTCTGCAGTTTCTTTAATTTTCAACCTAAACGAACAGAAGAGAAAAAAAATCATTTTCATGCTAATCGAATTATGCGCTCCATCAAAAGATAAAAAACCGACAATGTGTCAGTTTTAAAAAAAGTACTTAGCAGAAAATTAGCAAATTTCCTTACTTAGCTGAATAAGTGCTGTTAAGGCTAATATTGATTTATAATAGTAAGAAGAAATTATAAAAGGTTTCCGTTACATTTTTTGTGACTGACTGCTGACATTTTTCTCGAAACAGGCCTTGCTTATTCTTGGTATTTATTGTTCTACTTTATTCTGACAGTGGTAAAAACTTATGCAGGGTGAAAATCTATGTTTCTATTTTGGTACACAGAGACACCTAGTGGCCAGATTGTGAACTTGTGTTGTGTGCCTGACAGAGACAGAGACAGAGACAGAGACAGAGAGAGAGAGAGAGAGAGAGAGAGAGAGAGAGAGAGAGAGAATCTAGATAATTTTTATCATCGTTTTAATTAAATAAAGATAGATAGCAATCTACACATCATCAGTACCATTTCAACACATATATCTATTCAATAATATGGAAGCTATTGATGTCGCTTTCTTAACTTGACAATTATTCAATTCTTTAACTTTGGCCATATCTCCGTCAATTTTGAAGATACAAAAATGGTAGACCACATTTTGAAAATCTCAAGACCAGGTGTTTTCGATTTTCGAAGTTTAAGCTGGAATACTACAATAATTTGTTTCATACAAAAATGCCACATGAATCGAAGACGATATAAAAGTAGTCACTGAATTCCCATGTTTATTGGGACACCCTGTACATATTTTATACAATCTAATTAATTAAGCACAATAGTATACCATTTAAACATATGTATTTTATCATGTTGAATATTGTGTCGTTTCTAGTCTGAAAATTGGTTAAGTAGAAAATGAATATCTTATTCAATCTTTCGTGATCATTCAAAGAGTTTGAAATAAATTAAACTCAAGGTTTTAATGCAAGGAAAGTTAATTGCAGTTGCGTATACTCTGCGAACATATTGAAACTAGTTCTCTCAGGGCGAAATTTGTAGACAAGAGTGTTCGTTTAGTATCCATGGAGGATAAAAGCATTGAATTTTGAAAATTTTTATAATTCACATAATAGCTTCCTATGACCAGAATATTACATTGATTTTTTGTGTGAAAGATGGATCCCATGTCAGGCTTCAGAAATCCGTCTTGTGTTTACACTACCGCCCAGAGACAGTTTACTGCAGTTCACTGTACAAAATATGCGCACTCCTCTGAAATAACTTTCCTTTCATTATAACCTTGGACAAACTCACGTCTGCAGCAAGAAATATATAGATCAGGAACCGCCATATCTGATGCGTCAAATCTGTGTAGTGTGTACTGCAGTGGGAGGAGATCAAAACAAAGAATTCAGGGGCAAAACATCAATTATGTGGGAGGGGGGATAATAAGATATATTGCTATAGTAGACATGAATAATGATTATAAACCGCAAGAATATTTGTTACTTGCGACGAGTATATGCTTTAAAGGCAGGAGAGAGAAATGATTATTGCCAAGATTATATTCAAATTGTGAAACTTTATATGGTAAAATTCGGATGTTTTAATAAAAGCAAAAGCAAGTTCTCATTCCATTGGAATCAATGCAAAAAGGGACAGTAGACATAATTCAATGTCTAACAGGACTGCCCATATAATAATGTATGCCTGATTCACCTTTAAAAACTTTTTCGGGAAATGCACATTAAATGTTAGTCATGTATAAATAAAACCTTCTAACATAAAATTCGAGAAAAAGTGAAAAGAATGTTATCCATATTTTAATGCATTTATTTATTGACATTTTATACATTCTCTTCTTTTTAAAGCAGATCGTCAAGCTTTAATTTTCTCACACCATAATTCCAAAACATAAACTGAGCAGTTTGTTTCAATGTTCTGACATTTTTTCAATATTTTCCTTCAAGCTTACATTAAGTTTTTTTCAGTTTACGGAAAAATCTTAAATTTACAAAAAGTTTTACAACCTCCCGAGGCCATCTTTGGTTTATTGCAGTGATAGTTGAAATTGTTTTTTCGATAGGAGCATGTCCTCTATCCAAAGACTCCCCATGTATTTTTTGAAATATTTTCTCATATTTTTCAACTTCCTCCAATACATCTTTGGATGGATAAAACAAGGATCCTCTGGATTTAAAGTCTATCCAATCACAGTTTGTTTTCTCCTCGCCGACTCTGACAAGGCCGGGAATTTTTGTATGGAGTTTTTTTTGCAATAAACCCACAAAAATATATTTGTGCTGTTTTGAGGAATTTTTTTGCGCTGAATTTTCCGCACTCATAGGTTCCTGAAAACAGTTGAAGTTAGCCGTTTTCAAGGAATAAGATTCAGAATAAGTTAAGTTGCATTTTATGTTTGATAATTATCTTTATGATTAGAGGTAACCATTATGAAAATAGGTATTTTTAGAAAAAATCCATCACCACAGACATGAACATTTTAATTTTTGAAAATTGAAAAAACCTCATATTCTTCTAGTTCTTCTTCTTCTATCATTTCAATCTGGTTCTAGAATAAAGAAACTATTGAATTGATGTAAACCTTGGGAGGAAGGATGTAAACCATGGGAGGAAGGATTTAAACCTTGGGAAGAAGGACTAAACTTTGGGAGTAAGGATTAAAACCTTGGGAGGAAGGGTTTAAACCTTTGGGGAAGGGTTTAAACCATGGGAGGAAGGATTAAAACCTTGGGAGGAAGGGTTTAAACCATGGAAGGAAGGGTTTAAACCCTGGGAGGAGAGGTTTAAAGCATGGGAGGAAGGATGTAAACCTTGGGAGGAAGGATTAAAACCTTGGGAGGAAGGGTTTAAACCATGGGAGGAAGCAAGGAGAATTGAATACAAGGAGGGGCAATAGGGTTTCCGTACACTTTGCTGTGACGTATTTGGACTGCTGGAGAACTAGTTTTTGCGTAACAACAATAATAAAGGCAGTCGATATAATGTAAACAAACATGATTTAGTATACTGTGAATCTTCATCTAACGCCAGAGATGCACCGAATGTCTGTTTATCATTTATGTTATTGTTTACAATCTTTATTATTGTTGTTACGCAAAAACTAGTTCGCCAGCAGTCCAAATACGTCACAGCAAAGTGTACGGAAACCCTTTTGCCCACTCCTTGTATTAAATTCTCCTTGGGAGGAAGGGTTTAAACCTTGGGAGGAAGGGTTTAAATCTTGGGAGGAGAGTTTAAACCATGGGAGTAAGGATGTAAACCTTGGGAGGAAGGATTAAAACCTTGGGAGGTAGGATGTAAACCTTGGGAGGAAGGGTTTAAACCTGACGAGGATGGGTTTAAATCTTGTGAGGAAGGATGTAAACCTTGGGAGGAAGGGTTTATAGTGTAGTGTAGTTATCCGAGCTGACCGGACGTGTCTTTGTGAGCTCCCGGATTAAACTGACCGACAACCCAACACCGGGTTAACTTATTCACATGCTCCATATTATGTGAAAACACAAACACTCAGATAACTTGTTTAGTGCATTTATTTCCAGTAAAAAATATTTCTACTAGACTCAAAATGACTGACACAAAAATAGACATGGGTCTTATAAGCGATTTAGTAAAAAAATTGGAGAAGTTGGAGAATTCGAAAGAAAGCGAAGGGTCTGAATGGAGTAAAGTGCAAGGAAAGGATAGAAAAGCAAAGATGAAAGTTAAGGGAGGGATTGTTGATGCAAAGATAGATCCAACAGATCTAAACNCTATCTGTATACAGATACATTTATTTTAGCAATAAACGTTATCTTATCTTATCTTATCTTCCTTGTGTCGAGGAAGGATGTAAACCTTGGGAGGAAGGGTTTGAACCTTGGGAGTAAGGATGTAAACCTTGGGAGAAAGGATGTAAACCTTGGGAGGAAAGATGTAAACGTTAGGAAGAAGGATTCAAATGTTGGGAAAAAGGATTACGATCTTGAAGGGTTAAACTTTATGAGGAAAAATTTAATCTTTGGGAGGAAGGATTTAAACATTAGTAGGAAAGACTATACCTAAGGAGAAAGGTTTTAAATCTTAAAAGAAAGTTAAACCTCGGAAACAAGGATAAGTGGATTTTTTTACCTTGCTTTTCCTTTATAGTTGTACGAGTTGCACAAATCTCATAGAGCATTAAAAAATTTTACATTTCGATCTGAAAGCCAAAATTATATTTAAATAACTAAGTTGTATCCGCACTAACTTGATATATTAACTAGTTTGTTTTGTTGGACTGTAAAATCACTCTGTTTATCAGGAGTTAGATCCTTTCCCTTCAACTGCTATGGGGGCACTGGGTTTGTTTACATTCCTCCCAGAGTGTATATTACACAATATGCGTATATCTGAGTTGGGCGTTCCTGGTATATTGTTCCTTGGTCTGCAGTTTCTTTAATTTTCAACCTAAACGAAGAGCAGAGAAATATAATCAAATCAAATCAAATCAAATCAAATTATATATTTAGCCACAAACTTGAAACTATACATGTAAAAATGGATATTTATAATTAACATTAGTTGAAATTACAGTTTATGGCAGGGAGACGGAACTAGCCGAAACTGTTTTCAGTCGGTCTCCCGTACAATCAGTCTTTAATCAAAAAATTTAACTTGAAAAGTTTTACAAAAATTAGATTTAGAAAAGTTGGAGTTCCTGGCAGAGAAAGGTGAGGGTTCCTTTAAGAAGTCTGGTGGCTAAAAATTAGCATTTGACATAAAAGATGTGATTCCTGGCTGAAAAGATCCACAGGCTGGTCAAGCGAGAAACAAAGCTATAATTGAGAATTAATTAAGTATTTGAGCAACTGAAACAATAAAGTTTATCACATCTGAAGTCTAAATATTTATCAAGCAAGAATTTTTTGACACTTAATTTAAACCCAAACTTGCTCTCAATTTGTTTAATATTAGGATCAAAATTATCAGTCTCATACTAGTCAAATTATGTTTTCCATCAAAAGATAAAAAAACGGACAGTGTGTCATGTAAGTTTTACAGAGAGTTCTTAGCAGAGAATATGCTAATATTTTTACTTAGCAGAATGTGTGATGATTAAGGTTCATATTGATTTGTAATAGTAAGAAGAAAATATAAAAGGTTTTAGTAACAATTTTTGCGACTGACTGCTGACATTTTTCTCGAAACAGGCCTTGCTTATTCTTGGTATTTATTGTTCTATTTTATTCTGACAGTGGTAAAAACTTATGCAGGGTGAAAATCTATGTTTCTATTTTGGTACACAGAGACACCTAGTGGCCAGATTGTGAACTTGTGTTGTGTGCCTGACAGAGACAGAGACAGAGACAGAGACAGAGAGAGAGAGAGAGAGAGAGAGAGAGAGAGAGAGAGAGAGAGAGAGAGAGAGAGAGAGAGAGAGAGAGAGAGAGAGAGAGAGAGAGAGAGAGAGAGAGAGAGAGAGAGAGAGAGAGAGAGAGAGAGAGAGAGAGAGAGAGAGAGAGAGAGAGAGAGAGAGAGAGAGAGAGAGAGAGAGAGAGAGAGAGAGAGAGAGAGAGAGAGAGAGAGAGAGAGAGAGAGAGAGAGAGAGAGAGAGAGAGAGAGAGAGAGAGAGAGAGAGAGAGAGAGAGAGAGAGAGAGAGAGAGAGAGAGAGAGAGAGAGAGAGAGAGAGAGAGAGAGAGAGAGAGAGAGAGAGAGAGAGAGAGAGAGAGAGAGAGAGAGAGAGAGAGAGAGAGAGAGAGAGAGAGAGAGAGAGAGAGAGAGAGAGAGAGAGAGAGAGAGAGAGAGAGAGAGAGAGAGAGAGAGAGAGAGAGAGAGAGAGAGAGAGAGAGAGAGAGAGAGAGAGAGAGAGAGAGAGAGAGAGAATCTAGATAATTTTTACCATCGTTTTAATTAAATAAAAACAGATAGCAATCTACAAATCATCAGTACCATTTCAACACATATATCTATTCAATAATATGGAAGATATTGATGTCGCTTTCTTAACTTGACAATTATTCAATTCTAGCAATTTCCTCCATTGTATTTGTAAGAGAAACGCATAGAATCCGTGACATTAAAAATGATCAAATTTTTGGAAATTTAAAGATAGATCTTTCATTCATTCAGACACATTGATTATAAGGGCACCCTTGTGAATCGGACATGGAAATCTATAAATAAGTTGTATCTTTTATACACAGTCCTTGTTGATGTGTATTAAACGTATCTTTCCAGGTCTCATTTATTTTCCAGATCAACCAGGCTGAACTACCTGGTTCTAAATGACAGACAGGCCAAATCTTAACCAGGCTGCACTTCCCTGTAATAAAGGACACACAGTCCACTGAAATTGCTACACAGGCAATTTCTCAACCAGACCTAGCTCCCTGGTTCTAAATGAAACACTTGCCAAATCTTAACCAGGCTGCACTCCCCAGTTCTATAGGACACACAATCCACTGCAATTGCGACACAGGCAATTTCTCAACTCGTATAATTCAACAAGTACCAAAGCTCTATTTTCAAGCTTACTATAGATTCAATGCTAAATCAAATAGCAAAGGTCTATACTCGTAATGTTTCAACGAGTAACGCAGACTACTTCTTATACCGTAATCGAAGCAGAGTCTCGTCAACTGATCTGTAATTCGTATTTTATTAGATTTGTGTTATTTACAACGTAATTACAAGTTATGAGGGGTTACTATCTATAACGCATTAAATCACATTTATGGGTATGACAAAGATACATCTATTTACGAACATGAAATGGGTTAATCACATTAAAGAAACGGTGTAGTTATTATGTGAACGAATGACGAAGTATATATTACATTATGCCCTAAGTTTTGCTACAGATGCACCTCCGTAAAAAAACGGTATTAAGAAAAAAAATTAAGTTTTATATTCAATATATCAACTTACCTGACTAGGATCTAAAATAGTAAGAATATTTAAATATTTAAAATATTTTTTTCTAAAAAATTAAAAAGTTAAATTTCTGCAAAAACTCCATTGATTTTTCTTATTCCTTTGGTAATTATATTTGCCATTCTTTCTATTCATTCTCCCATTAATCCACTAGTTGCGGGCCAATCTATCTATATAAATTTATATATTTATACTATAATTCAGCCTATATATGCATCTAAGTCTATTTCTGTCTATGTAACTATAACTATATATAATTCAT